AATAAAATAAACAAAAAAAATGGGCGCAATGAACGGGGTAGGGGACCTGCCTCGGGCTATCTTGATCTCATCCCCACCCCACCCCACCCCACCCCATCCCATTTTAACCGAGTATGGGGCGGGGTGAGGTGACAAAAATACTTGATGGGGCGGGATTGATTGACCTGCCTCGTCGTCATCCCCAACTTCGACCTCTATTGTCCCATTTTCTAATTTTCATGCTAGGATAAAACACATAATTTATTTGAATAGTGAAAATTATGAGCTTGTTAGTGACACACAATTTGGGCACGATGATTGTTATGGTTGTTTGCGTATTTCTTTGACCTAATTTTCCACAAACGTTAAAAAAAAAATTTTAGATCACTCACTTGGAATTAGCATCCGTTTGGACCCCATTATTCCAAATTAAAATGAGAAGAAAAGTATTTTTTTGGAGAATGTGTGGTTAAAAAAAAGGAAATATTTTTGGATTTACGTGTAATATTATTTTATTGGAGAATGTATGATTGATAAAAAGAGAGAGTAAAATGAATTATAATTTAATAGGGAATAATGGGGGCCAAACGGGGGCTTAATCTATTTGATTGACCATTACACTTAAAAGTGATTTTTATTTTCAATAGAGCTCATTCAAGCCTTTAATGTTGCAATCATTTGTTTCTACAGGTCAGTCAATCGTGCTAGTTCCTTGTGCTCGTCCTTATACACAGTCAATTGAAGTATTTGAAGAGGAATTGCTTAAGTTTGTGCTTTTTGGAGTTCAGTGTTAATACTTGGTTAGAATAAGATCATTCCACTAGATCAGATCATATTTTTGAAGATGATTAGCAGCTTCAGTTGTTACTAGTTTTCGTATTTGAGTCATAAGAGTAGGGCTGTCCGTGGGTCGGTTCGGTTCTGAAGAGAACCGAATCGACTCAAAACTTTCGGGTATTTAATAAATGGAACCGTTGGGTTCAAATATAATTATGGAACCATTCATGTTCGATTCCGTTCGGTTCGGTACCATAATTAAATTTTTTAATATTTTCAGCAACACTACATAAATACAACTAATGACATTTCATTCGTAACTTTTACAAATTAACGTAGTCCAATTCAAAAACATATAAATAACTAACCATCCAATAAGATTAATTC